ACTGGTCAGTCAAAAATAGCCAAGCGTTTACCAAGTCAATAAAAATAGCCACCGTTTTGCTGCAATAGAGACCGGTCCAGCATAATATACTGGAGTTCGGTGCACTTGTGTATGAACTCCAGCATATTATGCTGGACCGGTATACTTTGCTGGCTCCAGTATAATATACTGGAGACTGGAGCACTGGTGCTCCAAACTTCAGTATATTATACTGGACCAATATACTTGCTGGAACTCCAGTATATTATGCTGGAGTTTAGTGTATTTATGCTGGAACTCCATCATATTATGCTGGAGTTCCAGCATACTATCCTGGAACTCCAGTATAATATGCTGGAGTTCAAGAATACTTATGCTGGAACTCCAGCATAATATACTGGAGTATTTTCCGGATTTTGAACAACGTTTTCGCTCAGATTTATCTTTACATAAAAAGTGGCTAAATTTCGATTTTTGAAATTGGGCTATTTTTGAACGACCAGCTGTAAATCTGGCTCTCCCCAAATAATTCACATAGTACGTGATGTTTAGGCTCAACGTTGGGTAACAAAAGAACAAATTAATCCAACAACAAATCAATCCATGAAATTGGTTGGAGCAAAAATGTGTCCTAAGCTTGGACAATGACAAATTGAATAAAATATCAGTGTCAGATTGAAGCCTCTTGCAGAAATGCAGGATAATATTGCATACAATAGACCTGCGATCCGGCCCTTCGTTAGACCCTGCATATAGCAAGAGCTTAGTGCACCGGACTTATCTTTATCAGAGTTAGACTGATATAATACAATTATGACTTTAGAGGAAAAATTGAGCGCCTAGGGATTGGTGTATAAGATGTCTATGGCGGAGGACATGTCAAGAGGGATTAGATTCTAAGCTGACAAGCTTTCGGGATGAGCGTATATGATACCTATATGTTTATTTAGTGAAAGTTCGTACTTACCAGAATAATTTTTTGACAATAAATATAATTCTTCATGATCATATTATATGCATGCATATAGTATCACAATTACTATATTTGGCATCATAAACCAAAAGGATATATGGATTTTGTTTTGAAGATTATTACGTACATTAATATACTTCTAACAAGAACAATGTATCACCAAAACTAACAAAAAGGAAAAGAAGACCTTGATCCACGTACTCCTGTGAGTTTTGACAACGTTGGCCAATTTTTGTTCACTAATACATTCAAAAAAATCACATCATGTGATGGAAATAATTAATGTACTAGCTAGCTAGCTAGTCAAATCTTCTAAGAAGATGAAATATTCAAGTACAATAATATTATCCAGAAGAAGAAGAAGGGTGACCATAATTAGCCGAATTTGAAGCTTTAAAACCGCTCCCACTACTCGGACGCAGGGACGGAGCTAGAGCTTCAGCTACGGGTTCGCTCTAACTAGCATCTGGCCGGCTGAATATGAACCTGTGGCTGAATAGGAGATAAAAACATATTTGGAAATTAAGGCACATGCAGCCTATGAAACTCATCATCATTCATGAAAACTTGAGCATTTAAATCAGTATTATTATTCAAAGCTTGATGATGAGTAGTGTGATCCTTTAGGGGGCGTTCAATAAAATTGGAACGATACTGAGAAGTGTGAACTATTGGCTCATCGTCCCTTAGGGGATATCCAATAAAATTGGGACGATACAGAGAAGTATGAACTATTGGATCGGGCGATGAAGAAACGGAATAAAGTGTATTTGGAGAATCAGACAATACTGGAGATGGCAAGAGTTTAACTTTTTCTGGGAAATTGAGTTTGGCTTTGCTACCTCTGAATTTAAGAGCAGCTTCATCATAAGTTCTAGCAGCTGCATCAGCTGTATCAAAAGTTCCAAGCCAAACTCTTGTTGCTTTATATGGATCTCTTATTTCAGCTGCCCATTTCCCCCATGGCCTTTGTCTAACTCCTCTGTATCTTCTTCTTGATTGACTACTATTATCTCCTCCATTAGATTGATCATTGCTGCTATTTTGATGATCATTTGTTGAAGTGCATATAAATGTTGCTTCTGCTGTTGGTGTGCTGCTGGTAATTGTCCTAATGCGTGTACCTTCACCACCTATATACCATAAGATTTTAAGTTATATATACTATCTGTTGACATTTTTTTACACTATCAGATCACTCAAATGATATCTACATGAAAGTCTCTTTAAAATGAGAAATTTATAATCTTGAAAATAAAACATGTTACCTATTGTAGCAGCTAAAGGTGACATGATGATGTAAAATTCCTTACACAGACAAACTCGATTCTTATTTCCGGAATATACTGATAGTTAAATATTTTTATATACTATCATGCCATCTAAATGATAACTAAAACAAATAACAATATCCATATGCCAAATTATGAAAGAGACTCAGTTTTAAGATTTGTACCAGCCATTATTATATGTTGAATTAAGGACACAGATTTGGCCAAAATAGTGTGCAAAAGATATGCAAGAAAACATGTGTACCACCTGTACATGTCCACCTAACAATATTGTAGTACCTTTCATTAATACTGTACTAAAAATCAATATAGTGGATAGTGTTAGGGATATGGTAGATATGCCCTAGATCCAGTCTCATATTTGATGATTTGAACATATTTTTGTGAACGTTATTTCACTTAGAATATATATGGCATTTGATATTCTTTTATCATTATTATTAACTGCTTGGTTAATTTGATAAGGTCCTTGATTAAATTTTGAGACTTGTCATCATGATGGAGATCATGATAATGAGAGAAAAGTTTCTTATAATTTAATCTATATTTGTTCTTGATCGTATGATTATCAATTTGGAGATTAGTAATCCGGTTAGATCAATATTTATGAGATTGTCTTTATGTGATAAAGATTAGTTGATCTCATTAACTAAATTACATAGATAGATGATGCAAATAGAGGTATAATCATTGAACCGACTCATTGGATAATTCCTAATGGTTAGAATTACCATAAAATGTCAATAGGATATTCTCTTGAAGAATGTGATGTAAGAGTTTCATTTGACCTGAGATCGTCACAGTAATTGACAAGTTATTTATTGTGCTTTGATACCAGACACCTATGGCCCTAGCGCGATAATTGAAAGGATATCGGGTACGATTAAATACTTGTAGAATTAATGATTGATCAAGATGAAATCTGTCAACTCTTGGTAATGAGTTTAAGCTCCATGTTGTCATGAATTATAAGCGACCAAATTAAGACCTTGGCTAGGGCAATTGAATGAAAGAAGAAAAGAGTTTCTTATGTCATTCAATGGTCGATTATATTTGACATGAACACATAGTTGGTCGCCTATTAGGATTTGACAGTTAAACCATATCCTAGGGTGACTTAGAGCTATAAGGACAGAAGGAATTATTACATTATTCTTCTACTGGTTCTTGAGAGTAAATTGTATACTTTTTCATTCTATCTGGCCGTTAAGGAGTGTTGCTAGATGCCGCCCTTGATTAGTATATTTATATGATCAATTTACTACCGGTTTAGTACTGAACCTACGGGACCACACACTAACGAGTGTTCTTCTCTTTGCTAAAGGATTTATTATTTTATTGTTTGGTAATTAAAATTGTAGAATTTAATTAGTCAAATAATTTAAATTATTAGCCCAAATAAAATACTATTATATTCCCTTTCTTTTTTTCTTTCTTTTTTTATGTTTTTCAATCGCCATATATATATATATATATATATATATAAGAAATATATAAAGCTTAAGAGGGTGTTTGGATGGGTTTATTTTAAGTGGTTATTAACTTTTAAGCACTTTTTTAGTTTGTGTGGTATTTGGCAATGATAAAAAGTACTTAAACGCACTTACTTTTAGGCATAAAAAGTACAAAAATAAGTCAAAAGCCAAAAAGTTGGTATTATCAACTTATGGCTTTTGACTTTTAGCTTAAAAACTACATTTTATAAGACAATCCAAACACCATCTAAGGGAGACTATTTAGTGAATCCAATTTAGAATTGGACTCACGTATAAAGTCCACAAAAGGAACTTGACGATCACGCAATTCCCATTAGGAATTAGATTTGATTTCCCAATTATAAGAATTATGGAAAAGGTCAACTACTGAATTGATTTCCACGTGAGAAAAGGCATTGGTCTTTTCCTTTAACCTAAAGGAAAAGGATTGGTGACTGTATATATATACTCCACCCAATTAATGTGGCTAAGCGAGTTATTTTAAGAAGCCGCAAAACCAAGAAATATTCTTGACAAGAAAACTTAGTTTCTTGTTCTTTCTATTTTAAGTTGAAGTTTTTTGAGAAAAATTCAACAAAATATTTTCGTTCAATTTGTTCGCGGGTTTCATTGATCAAAGAATTGATAGTAAGGATCGGTCTCGGTGTGGATACGCCTAGAGTCTTCGCACTATCGAAGAAAATTCTGAAACGAGGCTCTTTTCACTAGGTACGTCTCAGATCCGATCTTTGACATGTAAATAAATTTTAAGCACAAAAAGACCTGCCTAAAATTGTTATTGTCTTCCGCTGCGTGTTACGAACATCTACATGCAATCCTTCAAATAGTCACATACTTGATACTATATATTGTCAGTTTGAAATGCAATTTTTGATGAAGATAATGACAAGAATCAAAACAAAAAACAAAGGCATCTACCAAAATAAAACTAAATAACATCTGCAGAATACGTCACATATAGAGAAAAGATCAAGCAATTTCTTAATTCATTTATGCTCTCATATTCTACATTTAGCTGTTAATTAGCATATACTATAAATTTGTGTGTCATCTCATCTAAATGTCTAAGCTTTAATTTGAGAACTTTTGACCGCTCTAATATTATGTCAGTGTGTAATCTTTCTTAACTAAAAGTTAAGAAAAAACATGCTTTTATTTAGTACTTAATTGAACTAAGAACACAACATTAAAAAAAGAACGAAAAAGGGTCAATAAATGTCCTTAACCTATTAGAAATGGCTCAAAAATACCTTCATCCACCTTTTGGCCCAAAAATGTCATTAACGTTTTCTTTAGTATCAAAAGTGCCCCTTGAACTAACAGACAACAACAGTTGACTCTGTGGGACTTTTTGCAAATCCACGTGGCACTTTTTGATTGGTCAACATTAAAAAAAATAATTACACCCGACACACATATTCTAATAGGGTGCTTCAACTCTTTCTTTTCTCTTTCAGTTCCTTAAATTTTTCTTTTCTTTTCTTCAAGTTTATTATCATAATTTTATTTTTTGCTGTGTAAAAAAAACTGCTTCTTCTGGTGTAAGTAAAATTGACATGGTTGTATGCTTTCTTTACCTAAAAATTGGTTCCATTTATTCGGCTAAAATTCTACTTACGTATATTTTAACGTTCTAAAGTTGCTATGTTAAAGTTAACTAGTATTATAGCAACTGAAAAGCTACGTAATTTTGGGTTAAAATACAGATCTTGACAGTAGTCACTTTAATGACAAAAGCTAAAGTTGTTTAATATTGTCCAATCAAAGAGTGCCACGTGGATTTGCCAAAGCCCCATACGGTCAACTGTTGTTGTTGTCTATTAGTTCAAGGGGCACTTTTTATACTAAAGAAAACATTAGTGGCATTTTTGGCTTGAGGGGCATTTTTGAGCCATTTCAAATAGGTGAAGGACATTTATGATCCTTTTCCGGAAAAAAAGGAATTTTCAGTCTAGTGCACTAAGCTCCTGTTATGCAGAGGAATTTGGAGAAGGATCAAACCACACTAGGTCTTATGTACACACGAGAGATTGTTTCAAGGCTTGAACACAAACATAAAATAAAAGAAAATCCAAACTCTTAGTATACAAAAGAAGAGAAAGGATACAATTCTTTTTAACAATTTATGACAAAAATATAAAACAACAAAACTAATTAATAACGGAAGTCTTAATTATAGAAACTGAATAAAACACGGAGTAGTCAATATAAGACTCTACCCAAGACTGGTGTCACAATACTCACGAACTGCTAAGAGTTTACTAAATACAAGGTCTGAAAGTAACATAACTGTTTATC